TCGATTTTTCCAAAACTATTCCACTAAAATTCAAAATAGGTTCACAATCAAGATAGTAACATTTAAAGAATTGTCTCCAAAAGTTGGGTCAATAAAGTTTCTTATAATAAACAAGATGACACTTACTATAGTTGAATGTAATTAAGATCCTATGGTCGATTCATCCCAAGAAAATTAGCTATTACAAACAAAAAAAATGGAAAAATCCTTTTGGCCAGAAAATTTGGTCAGAATAATTCCTTTTTTTTTTTTACCTTTTTAAACATTTTTACCCTTTTAACTTTAATATCTTTTATCTAAAAAATGGAAAAAAGATCAGTTTATTTTAAAATAAAAAAAATATTATCATTTTTTTAAATTTCTGGCCAATTTTTCTGGTCATTTAGCCTTACCCAAAAAAATTATGTAGATAAAATTTAGTAGGAACAGGTTTCTTGTTGTAGCAACAATTTCTTCTTCGAACCTTTTCATATAGATTTGGGAACAATTTTATAATTATAAAATAAAATATATTTTACAATTCCACACAAAGCACAAATATATTCACTAGTAAATTGGGATCAAAGGTAGGGTTGTCTCAACAACATTCGACTGCCTAAAGTCAATTTAGTAGAGATTCCTTTTAATTGAAATATAAGAATTGAATAATAATAATAATAATAATAACAATAACATATCTTGTGTATCTTACCAATGAGGTTTAAGGATGCAGGTACGATTAGGGTTACTCATCGGGCAAATAATTTTACTTAACCATTTTCCTTATCATGTATCATTTTTTAAATTTACTAATTCGCTAGCCAATAAGATATTGGTTGGTTCGATAACGGATTAGTAATTATCGAACGGTGAATCGGCTAACCTCTATATTTTATTTTTCATGAATGCACCATAAAAAAAGACTTCTTTTCATTATTTTAAATCAAGTTAAATGATAAAATTCTTCTATATTGTGAAAAGTATAGATTAATAGTAATATAATAGTTAATACAACAAAAAAGTAAATAGTTTTTTTTTTTTTTTTTCTGTTTTTGACTTTACAACTTTAGGACTAACAAAATATAATTATATATTATGACAAAATATTAAATGAGGCTAATATATCTAAGACAAAAGTGTAAGTATGGTAACTCTTAAAGGGTTAACGGTATATCTGATAAGGAAATTGAATAATCCATCGCCACACCAATAAACCGTTAATTATAAATTTTGAATCCATTCACCAATCATTTATTCGATAACCCAATATCAATAGACCAATTTCGCGGTTGGCTTATCGATTATAGTTTGATTTTGAAACTCCATATACGATGCAAGTAGAAGTAAGAATGTAAACAATGAAATTTTTCAATGAAAAACGTAATATAAATTTAGAATAATAAAACTTGGCTCAAATATTTGTGAATTGATATAATAATATCGAAAATATGTTGCGCTGAATTTGATATAATGATGATTGGTTATTTTGCTTGAAATTTGAATAAAGATACCATAAAACAAATTTAATCTTTTTGTAAACAGATAACAATAGGTTTTGTAGAAGGTTTGACTATGTGAGATAATTTAATATTAATAATAATCAAAATAGTGAAAGAGGAATGAAAAAGATAAATAAAGAATAATTAATGTCAATCGTCAAAATATAAATAAGGCAATAAAATATGTAGCAACGTAAAAAAAAATATTACAATTACACTATTTTGTTTCTCACAACCTCACATTAAACAAGGTAAAATATTGAATATTATATTTCTATTCAAATAACTTTTTTTCAAATTTAACGGTAAATGATTTTTTTTCTTAACAATATGTAAATTTTAAAAAAATGAGTTATACTTTAGTTGTCTTATGATGGAGCGGATGCTGGTGAAAAGAATACTTGTAATTATGTTATAAAATTGGCATTTGAAAAATAGGTATAAAAACATGGTCTTTTTAAAATATTGGTCTAAATACATAGAATTTCAAAGGAGATAGGCAAAGATAATAAATAATCCATCTAAATGTTGCATTTAATTTTGTTTATATAACAACACAATAAAACAGATAAAGTGGGAACCACATGAGGCTTCTTTTTGTGTGTTTATGGTGGGCCCCAGTTCATGTATCTAACCCAAATTCTATCTATCCCCCATTTTCAAAATAAAATAAAATTAGTCAATAATAATAATAATAATGTTGAATATAATGGAAAATGTGAAAAAGTGAATATTTTTTATATGTATGTTCCACACTTTCCCATTGCTTTCTTCTATGCTTCATCAATCAAAGAAGAGGACTAAGCAAAAGTTGTTTTCATCACTTTGATTTCTTGCCTCATTTTGAAGGTTCCATTTTCCCCTTGTTCATTTATTCTTGAAATTTTTTAGTTTGTTTACTCTTCCATTGTTTAACTTAGAATCCATCAAGATTTCATTTTTTTAGTAAGTAAGACAAAGGGGTTTTTAAGGTTTTGATTATTAATTGCCATATACAGACTTGTGAGCTCTTTAGATTTTTTTCATTAATGTAGTTGATGTCACTAGATTCTTAAAAGTTAGAAGAAATAGAAAAACTTTTTTTTTTTTTTTTGGTTTTTTCAGATTATCCTTGACCTAGATAGGGTTCTGTGCAGCATATTTAACAATGTTGATGGTGATTTGAAATTCAAAAACAGTTTTGATTTCACCTTGGAGAATGTTTGTGTTGTCTTGATTGATAGAGGAAGATGGCAAAGCACTATATTGACCAAATAAATCTTTTCAATTCTTTTAACTCAATTGGTGATCACCTTTAAATGAATTTGGTAAAAAACAAAATTGTAATTTAGTAAGAAATGTGTAGTTTGGTTGTAGTGTTATTTGGTTGTAATATTGTTCTGTTTCTATTTGTTGATTTGTTACTACCTATTGTCTCTTGTACTTTCATTGTGTCTTTTTCTAGTTTGTTTATGTCTTGAGTAAGGGTCTACTGGAAACAACATCTCTGTCTCACTTCTGAGGTAGAATAAGGTCTGCGTACACTCTACCCTCCCTGAAGTTCAATATGTGGGAACACTTGGTATGTTGTTGTTGTTATTTAGTAAGATAGCCTGCAAATGTGTGTGAGTTTTTGGGAGGGAATGCAATGCAAGTCTTAACCACTATGAAGTTAATGATTCTCTTATCACTTGCGCTGCTTGAATTGATCGGTGCCGTAATACATTTTTATCAGGTCCTAGTTTAGCAACTTGTCAAAGTGTCCAACAAGAAGCTATAAGGCAGTTACATTAGTGCAGAATCCGTCGAAGATAATGCAGAACATCTTTTTTTTAAAAAAAATTGGGGATAGGGGAAGGGGAAATGGGGGAGGGGACAAGGTGGAGAATCGAACCCTCACCAACAAGGTGAAAGTTCAGGTATCCAACTTCCTGAGCTACTAAGATTATCCCAATGAAGAACATCTTATTGATTACACTTACAAAAAAAATCTTGTGATGAAGTAATAATCTTGTTAATGTGGGTTAACTTCCATGTAGAAGTAATACACCAAAAATTAGAGAAACCTACAAACTGTCAGATAGATTAACCAAAAACAGGAGGTTATTCCTCAAATATACAAAGTTATCATCAACTCTTCCATGCTCTCCTTCCAAAGGACCCATATAAGGGCTAAAGGGGCTATTTCTCGTGTCCTACGTCTTCTTTCCTTCTTCTAAGGTCCATCTGTGTAACAGGTCCTTTACTGTGCCCAACATTATCGACTGTACGTGCTCAGGACCAGTTTCCATTCACCACAACTGGGTAACACATGAAAATGCAGCAGTAGGTCGTCCAGATATATATATACATTAAGCACCATCCCGGAGCATTAGTATTATTCCTGTATTTTCGTGTTTTTAGATTTATTTGTTACTACCGGCTGTTTCTTTAGCCTTGATCATTGTATCATCTTATGGTTTTTTTGGTTTGTTCCTACTGCTTTCTTTTGCATCTTTCTTTGAGCCAAGAGCCTGTATGAAACAGCCTCTCTCCCTTCAAGTAATTTGCATCTTTCCTGGATGCTGTGTTAGTATTACAATTACATTTTGACTATCAGTGAAGAAATAATAATGTGAAATCATCCAGTCTGATCAAAACACAAAAGATACCTTTTAGCACTTCCTATAATTTGTTTGTCGTTATTCAAGCTATAGGCAGATCAAGTGCTTCTTTAGTTGCCTAGTTCTAGAGAGCATCTTTTACATAATTTGTGTTGTTGGTGTAAAAGTAGTTTCATTGATAATAGAGATCAATATATGGAGTTTTTGGAGTTGCTTGAGAGATGTTGTAATTGACTGTATGGATATTCCCAGCAGTCTTTTGTAAATTTTGGTTTTGGGACCTTCTTGGTATAGTCAATGAACCTTTACCTTATCCAAAAAAAAAAAAGAGCATCTCTTACCATCCAGAAAAATGAAACCTATAAGTGCAGGTTTAGAATCACCAAACAAATATGTTGGTCATTGAAGTTGTGAAACAACTCAAGAGTTCCAGAAAATGTTAATTCACAAGAATCACCAAAATACAACATATGAGAGCAAAGAAATACTATGGAAGAAACACAACTGACATAAAACTTATGTTGCAGTAGAGATGTAGAGCAGATCATAATGAAGATATAATCATTATTAACAATCCATGTTAAGTTGGGGCATTCAAATCATGCATTCAAAACTATAGAAAGAGAGTTAAATATTCTAAGCTGTGTTGGAAGTTTTGCTGAAACCATTTTTAACTGTATGCTTGCATAAATGGGATCAGTTACCACCTTTTTATATGGATATCCAAGAGAACTTTTGCATTTCTGGAATTGTTGAATTTGGGCTGCATCTATTGAAATGTCTTATTAATTTTGTAATGGCTAAACTCATTTTTCAAACTTTTTTAACCATCAGTAGTCATGGATGTTTATGCAATTATGCTACATATGCGGATCGATTAGTGCAGTTGTATAGCATAGTGCAATTGGCACCTAATGTTTCTTTATAGCTGCTTTAACTGATTTTTTGTTTTACTCCTTTTCTTTTCACAGAAACCTTTTTTCATGACGGCAAAATTGTATGTCGCCATATGCCATCAGGAAGACTTTCTTTAATGGATTTGGAACCTGCCTACAAAATGGAGATCATAAGAGCAGTCCAAGATATTCAGCATGAATTTTGGCCTCTTGATGAAATAAATCTAGAGAATGCTAAGTTCCCCTGTTGTTTAGTTTGGACTCCTCTACCAGTAGTCTCATGGTTGGCACCTTTCATTGGACATGTAGGAATATGCAGAGAGGATGGTTCTGCCGTGGCCTTTTCTGGTTCCAACTTTATTAATGTTGATGATTTTGCATTAGGTTCTGTGGCCAAATACCTTCAACTAGACAGAAAACAGGTACAATTTACTGTGGCATGCTCTTAGCCTTTCAATTGTTTGTTGTAGCATTATTTCACTCACTAACCTCTCCCCCCCATCTTCCTTAACGCATCACCCCTACTATTTGTATTCACATATAACTTCCAACACTTCCACCTGAAACACTATGCTTAGTTACCCCACATAAAGAAATAGGCCAATTTGATCTTACCAACAAAGTATTGACAAGAATTTCTGAATGCTGAATAATTGGACAGTGCTGCTTTCCGCGAAACCTTGCTGCACACACATGTAAGCATGGCTATAAACACACAGAGTTTGGGTCTGCAATTTCTTGGGATGATGCCATCCAATCAAGCGTTCGTCATTTTGAGCACAAATCGTACAATTTATTCACTTGCAACAGCTATTCTTTTCTTGCTAATTGTTTGAACAAGCTCTGCTATGGTGGATCAATGGATTGGAACATGATCAATGTTGGTGCTCTTTTATTGTTCAAAGGACATTGGGTTGACAACATGTCAATCTTGAGATCATTTTCACCTTTTATGCTAGTTGTATGCTTTGGCATTTTCATGGTGGGATGGCCTTTTTTGGTAGCATTATTGGCTTTCTCACTTCTTCTTTTAGCATGGTTTATTTTTGGCACTTGCTGTCTCAAAAATATGTTGGATTCCTAGGTTTCTTGTATCACATTGCTACAAGATTAAAATTTGTTAATCCTTAATATGTGAGGAACCCTATAGAGTTTAATAACTCTGCACTTTCAAGTGTAGAAGAATTTGTACAATATCAAGTTACCTAAAAATATTCACTTTGATTCAATTTATATGACACACTTTCCTTTTTAATTCATTGAAAAAATGAATGAATGACACTATCTATCTTTAGTTTTGAAACATTATAAAATCTTTTCATATTTTTAAACTCAGTGTCTAGTCGTAAATCACATAAACTGAAACAAACATGAGTAGTTATAAGTTGTCATCAGTGATAATTGGAATTAGGGATGTGCATCAATTGGTTTGATTTTATGCATTATTGATTCAGTTTTCAATTTTTAAATACGCTAAATTAATAGGATATTCTTTTTATCTATTTATTGATTTTTGGTCCTTAATAGTTTGATTTTCGATTGGATAAACAAAAAAATCTCATAAAATAGTTATATAAAGCAAATCGATGGCTTGAAGCTGAATTTGAGCACAGTAAAATGAATTAAATCAATAAATGAGTTATTGTGAAGCATGTTCAAAATTCAGTTTGGATTAAGATGTGCTAAACAATGAGATGTAACTAATCTAACCGGATTTGCGGTGGCCTTTTTTGGTTCCAACTTTTATTACTAATAAGTAATAATGTTGATGATTTGGCATTTGCTTCTGTGGCCAACTCTAGTTTTTGGATTCTTTTAAAATTAAAATTTATCATAATTTTTTTATTAAAAAAAGTTCCCGCTAACTATTACTTGAGAAAATTTTACGTTAGCAAATTAAAAATTGCTAATTGTATGCTATAGCAAATTTTATAAAATTGCAGTCCGTAGCAAAATTTTAGTTTGCTACGGATGTGTCTTTCTATATATTCGCTAGTCAGTCTTTTTTTTATATATACATTTTGATTGTTTTAAAAAATAAATAAAAAGGCGCGTTAATTTAATTTGTGTATGTAATTGTTTATATATAAATGTATATGGAGAATGTGTATATAAACGTTTATATGAGTATATAATGGGAATATGTATATATGTGAATAACTGAAGTTGCTAATATGTATATATGTGAATAACTGAAGTTGCTAGAATTTATATAAATATATGTTCTGTTTGTTGTTGAAATTCTTAATCATATAAATGTATATGTATATAAAACTTTTTTTTTATACAGAAATTTTGAAAATGGCTTCATTAGCTATTTTGGTTATGCATTCCGGTAGATGGGACAGTGACAATTGTTACGTTGATTATACAATTGAGGGGGTGATTTTTAAAGAAAGTTCATCGTATAAGGAGTTTTATAATGTTATTGCAATGCAACTCGAGACACAAGTGTATAAGTGTAAACAAATATGTATGTTTAAAGGAACATTATACAATAACTACTAATATTATACATTTATACAACCACAATTGTATAAGCAAACAATATAAGACATGAATCAACTCAAAAAATATAAAAATAATGATTATATAGTCCAATGACCCACATAATTATATAGTCCAATGACCCACAAACAATAACTTCAGTTTTATCATTGTGATCAGTATAAAATTCAGTTTTATCTTTCCTTTTTTTACTTGACCCAACAATAAGTGTATAAGTGTGAGCAAATGTGTATGTTTAAAGGAACATTATACAATAACTACTAATATTATACATTTATACAACCACAATTGTATAAGCAAACAGTATAAGACATGAATCAACACAAAAAAATGTAAAAATAATGATTATACAGTAAATGACTGAAAAAAATAAGTTATATATACATATACATTTAAATTGAAAAAATTGAAAAAATTGAAAAAAATTAACAAAAATTAATAGAATGAGATGAGTTTTGGCGGTACCTGAAATTTTTGAAGAAATGTTTCTCTTTTAAAAACGAGACGATGATGTGCTGGAGAAATTTGTAATTTGAAATTGTATTTGGGGAGAAGAGTTGGGAGAATTTGAAGGAAATAGGAGAAGAAATTGTATGAAAGAAAGAGAAAAGGAAAAACGACTGTTTTATTGTTTTAATAAATTATACAAATCGGTGGGGCCCTATAATAGCAAAGTGACCGAGATTTTTCTTATTAATGGAAATAGCTGAAACGATAGTTAGTGCATTTAATTAACATTATTAGTTTGCCATTTTGTACAATTATTCCTATATTACTTTAACTATAATATATTTGCACAACTAACCCCCTCATTAAATCATTCTTATCTATAATTATAAAAACAAAGAATGGCTCTTTCTTGTGGCTGTATTCCTACTTAAAAAGAAGGAAAATGGCGTTTTTAGTCCCTGTGTTATTGTCTAATTCCACTTTTAGTCCCTGTGATATTTGACTATGTACATTTAACCTTGAATTAACTAGACTGAGCGATTTTGATCTAATCACTAAGAAACGTTAACTTTGTTAACATATCACTTATTAACGGAAAGGACAATTCTGGTACTATTAGCTAAAATACTTGAAAAAACCTAATTGTACAAAAATTTAGAAGTATTTATGTCGCATCGTTGCCTCATAATCGTATGTTGTCTTCATCTCTTCTTCCACTTGGATGCAAATTAATGGTTTGATCATGAATAGCTAAGAGACTTTGTATATCTTGATGATAACTTCTCTTTAGTTGTTTTCTCGTGTGAGAACAATTCTAGGGCATTCAAAGTTTGCTCACTATACCACCTGAAAAAGAAAAAAAGAATGACAATGAAATTGCGTTATAAGAATGGACTACAATTCACACCAACATGTAAGTACTCTATCTAGTTAATAAACTATAACTTTGATATTGATTGATCAAGAAAAAGATTAAATATTGATATGGCAAATCAAAGCATAAATACATACTAGATAAATATGCATTATAACTTTTTAGAAAATGTTTCTGTTTTTATATTAATATATCTTGTACTGCTATTACTTAATCTACATAAAATTAAAGCTATATTGGTCTTCAGTACTAGATTGATAACAAACAATATCAAGAAACTAAAATGAATAGCAAAATATTTTTATCTCACTATAAATAAAAGTGAATACTATTACTGCTTATATGACTAATGTAGGAGAACACACAATAGATTTTCTTCACACAAGATTTAAATATGTCTTGAAAAGTTAAAAACTATATGAGAAGAGACATAAAAGATGTACGTACTATTATTTTGTTTCAAAGCACAAAGAGAAAAGTTTACTTTAGATTATGGTAGGAACGTATTCTTTTTGGTCTTCTGGTTACTTTGGACAATGTTCAGTGATCAACTTGTAAAGGAAGAGGAGTCCTATAAACTCTCTCATTTTGATCTCAGCTTTTGCTACATAGTTACAACATTCATTTCACCCCTTGTATTGGAGGCTAAAATATATGTCAATATTCAAGTGATGTTATTTTTTTATGAAATACACAAGTAAGGGTTAAGGCCTAATCTCACTCCTAAAACTATTCCACCTTCACGTTTTCTTAAGAAGTATATAAAAAGAACTTTCAAAAATTGTATAGTTCTAAAAAAAATGACAAGTTGACAATTCCTTCTTTATGGACATTAGTTGCACAATTACTTAATTATTCAAATTCAACAAATATTTGAACTTGCAAGGACTGGTTACATTTTGTTGTTGGATTTATATGTTGTTGACACCCAATTTTGGACCTCCACAATATAAATTAATCATCGAGCTTCTTAAAATTCCAAACTATTTGAAATAATTGACTTTATAAAATTTAAATTATTTTCAAGTTAGTTTTATGTAATTTTGTCCCTTTTTTGAATTTTTAAATATTATGTATATATATTTTATATAATTAGGATATTTTATAAATATTCGAAAATCATCTCAAAAAGATTTTATTTTAATTAAATATTTGATTAATTAGTTTAGTTATATAATAGTTTATATTTTTAAATCATTCGGTTTATAATTAAGTTAATTATTTCATTTTGTTAAGTTTAAGAAGCTCCTTAATTAATCTTATTTAAATTCATCTTAGATTTTAACTAAATTTGCAAATTAAATTCAATTCAAACTATATTGTGAATTTTAATTGGCTATAACTTTAATCCATTGGCCAAATCCCCAATTTAAAGCCTAATCAATTTCTTCAACTCATTTTGAGACCAAGAATTCGGGCCCTATTTCAATACAACCAACAACCCAACTTCATAATACCAAACCGACTCAATCCTAAACCCATTACAATAACAACAACAATACATACAGAAACCCAACCCAATTCCTTCAATTCAATAACCCATTCCAGCAGCAATATACGTACAACAGTACGCTTCTTCTTTCCTCTTCACTAACGCGTGAACAAACTCCAGTGAACCCAGACGCGCACCAGCTCCAGACGCAAACCAGAACGCGAGTCCAGCAGCCTAGCACGTCGTCCTTTCCTCTCTCCCTCATCCTTTGTACGTGAACACGACAGTAGACGGAAAAGCGACCCAGACGCGTGCTTGAACGCTCACATTGTCTTCTTCAACTCTGCTCGACAGGCAATACACTAGTACAGTGTTTTCGGCTACAACAGTCTGAGAATTTGTACTATTTTCAGCTCCTCCAACCTTATCTCTGAAAAAATTTGAAATTTTGAATTTCAAACTTCATCTCATTCCTTACCCGATTCCCCCCAAAATCTGCCCTAATTTCCCCTATAAATAGCTCCTTTCTTATTCATTTTGGAGGGTTGAAAAAAAAGAAGGAATTAGTATTAGAGAGGAAAACACAAGAGGAAACAAAAAAAAAATGACAATTAAAATATATAAATAGGCAGAAGAAGTAGAACTTGGAGGTGATAGTAGTCGTGTTGCTGAAATTATGAGTCTGTTTGTTTCGCAACTCAAATTCCCATCAAGGTCTTTCAAAGGTAGGTGGAATCGCTCTCTCTCTTTGCTCGTCGTACCAGTCGTTGCCCGGAAAAAGGTAATATCCTTTTCCCTTTGGTTAAATTCCTCTTCATCTCGTGTTTTCATTGTTTGGAGTTTTTTTTCAATTTCGATTATGTTACT